TGGTATTCTAGACCTTCAAAAGATAGGGCTTTGAAAGGGCATGAACTGAAGCCCAGCAGGGTTCCCTTTTTCGCCAATAGTTGAAGACGCAGGATGGCATCATTACGGGGAAAGGCCGCTACATGTCTCACTCTGGTGAAATCTGTGAGCTCTTGTGAAGCTGGACCAAGCTCGTCAAGCCATCATGGTAAAACCTGTCAACTCGAGAAGGTCTAGATGGGTCAACACGTTGATGTAAAGTAGCAAAAGTGCAAAATGCCCATCCCCCCCCCAGTCGCCAAACTGCCCTCAGTACATATCTTCTGCTCTAGTTGGCATATATACAGGGGGGAGGGCAAAAAAAAGACATTTCGACCGAGTCACATATCAGCAAAGTTTTCGCAGCCCAGACAGAGGACGTGGATACGAGTACCAGGGCGGAAGATACCCAAGATGTTCCTCTATAAGCAGGAGCTGGCTCTCGCCCATCACCTTCATGTACACCAAAATATGAAGTCATCTCCAGCCGCAACCTGACTGGAGAAGACCTTCGGAATTCATGTCACCTCCGAACAGCTGCGAAACTTCTAGTATGGAGTCACCCATAAATAGCTACCTGGAGAGCAGTACTCTCGATCTGGAAGACCTCCATCATCGAGCAGCTCCGACAACGTCGCTACGGTCTAGGACATCATCTTCACCTCAGTCGCCAAGGCGCCAGTTGATGGTGGGGACCGGACGTACCTGGAATGGAGAGACCGATATTTTCTTCCGGACTGAAGGTGAGCGCTGGCGGTTACATCGAGCAACTCGAGAAGAATATCCTCTCCACATGTCGTCGCCCGTACCTTCTTGGAAACTGCTACAGGATTGGGTGACACCACATGGAATCAAAGGGCGTTGGGAAAACTCTTGCCTACTTGGAATGGAAGGGCGTTGAGTACCTGAAGAAGGTGGAATATCTAAGCAGGTCACCTGACCTAAACCCCCTCAATTACCTGGTTCGGGCGGAGTTCAATAGGGTGGTCTACAGTGGCGGAGAAATCAACGATCTCGCTGAACTCACGCACCCACTGACGGTCGCGTGGCAGAATCTCTCGATGGCGCTCCTCCAGAAGGCTGTGGCGGAGTATCATGATAGTATTTAATATGCTCTTTAATATGGTGGTAGAAATGTCCGATAAGAATTTAATAAAGTGTAACTTATAGCGCCTCGAAAGTCGAGGAAGAAAAGTCTTTTCCTTTGGTCCCCCCCGTGTACATAAGTTTTGTGCGGTAGTTACTCACAACATATACCAGCCTCATAAAGCATCTTTACTCGTCTTCTTCAACCAATATTCAATGAGTACTCGATATGAAATTTTCATTGGTAAGCTTTCGCTGTGGTAACAGCTTCTTCAGACCTCAAATAAAACAAGCATACATAGTACTTCAATTCCTTACAACAATCAAGCTGATCAAAGTACTAACCAGACTGGGCTCCCTCTTAACAATAAAGTCGCTAAGGTCTGTAATACAATACACTCAATGCCTACAACTGATGACAACACCACCAAATACTAGTGACCTACCCCTGACCGACCTCCAGTGCAACTATTAGGTCATCCCATTCAAAAGTGCCGTCGGTTTTTTCGAATAAAACAAAGAGGAGAATAGATAAAAAAGTAATATTTTGGCTCCAAGTTAAGTAAATCCCTCCTTCACCAATGACCCGCTCCCAGTGCCCCGAAAGCCTTTGGACCTCTGGTACCTTCGATTTTTCAACAAGTGCGAGTAAATTGCTGTTGATGCCATGACAAAACATTGTAGCGTTTGCCGTCGGAGAGTACTCTCGACTGACGAGAACAGTTGGAATCGATGGCTTTATGTCGGGCGAATGGGGCGATTGAACCCAGGTCTCAGTATTGTTTGCGTA